CCCCCCCAGGGGAGCTGCCCCTCACACCCACCTGTATTCTGGCTGGCAGCCTCATCACCATCACCGTTGTTGCTTCCAGGATGCTCAGCTCGACCAGGTAAGCCGCGGGAGGTCAGTGTGGGAGAGCGGCTGACCACTCCTGTGACCAGCCAGTGTCCTGAGTGGGAACAGCAGGTTAGTCTTGTGAGACTGGGTCTGTATAACAAGACCCAACCTGAAGTTGCTTATTAAAGCCAAAGGCCGATGGTATCTAGTAAGTTCCTCACACACCTCACCCTGACCATGGCTCCCAGCCGACATCTGGTGGGAGATTTCCCTATGGGTCTCATGGGGCCTCTAGAGACCAGAGTGGGCCCACCACATAGTCCCACCTGTCAGCCTTTCTGCAGAGGTGAGGTTCCCCTCTCCCAAGCCCTCACATGTCTGTATAGTGGCCAGGGCATTTGTGCGTTCTGGCTCCAAGCACCAGAACTTTGTGCACACCCAGTACTGGCCTTTGGGTTGTGACCACTTCTGTCCTTGAACATCTCAACTTGGCACCTGCTGGATCTTATGGTTCATCCTCCCAAGACCATTTGCTCTAGAGGCCAGACTCATAGGATGGCACGTCACCTCTCTGAGACTCATTGTTTTCCTCTATAAAATGGGTACAGAGGGCTAGCTCCTACTGACATGTGACCAGGGACCAGCAAGTGGCCTCTTGGTGATTTGGTACACTTAGTGGGATGAAGTGAGCTCACTGGTGCACCTGGCACCACGAGATCCGGTGTGTCTGTCTGACCTGGACTAACTCCCTTGTCATCAGGTCGTGACCAGAAGACAGAGCCGTGGGCTGGCCTCCCTGCCTTATACAAGAACTCATCAATGGAGCAAAAGAGCCTGGGGAGTGGGAGTAGAAGGGGGGTGCAGGGCTGGAGAGGTGGCTCAGCGGTTAAGAGCACTGACTGTTCTTCCAGAGGTCCTGATTTCAATTCCAAGCAACCACATGGTGGCTCACAACCATCTGTAATGGGATCCGATGCACTCTTCTGAAGGCAGCCACAGTGTACTCAGATACACAAAATAAATAATTCTTTAAAAAATAAACCTTAACAAAAAAGGAAGGGGTACCAAAAGTAGTATACCCCAAAAGAAGCCCAGAAATCTAGAGCATTAGTGTGAACGAGGCCCGAGGGAATAAAATTGTATCGTGTGTGGGATTCTTGCTGTCAGTGGCTGTTAGTGAGTGACTGAGTGGGTGCGCCTACTCTCTGATGCACTGAAGCCCAGCTTCTTACATTTCTGGTCACGACCCTATATGGGGTTGTGTAACTGAAGGAGGGGTGCTCATCAACAATTTGGCAACAGCAAAAAGTTTCTGTGTGTGGTGGCTCATACCTGTCTTCCCAGAACGTGACTGGTGGAGGCAGGAGGATCCCTTCGAGCTAGAGAGAGGCTAACCTGGTCTACATAGTGAGTTCAGCAGTCAGGCTGCATTCATAGCAAGACTCTGTCTCAAAATAAAATAAAACGAAAATCTCAAAAGGGGCCTGCGAGATGGATAAAGGTGTTTGCTGCCAAGTCTGGCGGCCGGCCTTAGTTCAATCTCAGAGACCCATCCTGTGAAGGGAGCACTGTGTCTTACAAGGTGTCCTTTTTATGACATGTGTCATCTCATGTGCTCCACCCACCCCAGGCACAAACCAATTAAACGTAAATGACAAAAGGTTGTTTTGGTTTTGCTTTTGGTTTTTCAGACAGGGTTTCTCTGTGTAGGAAAAAGAAAGAAAAAGAAAGAAAGAAAGAAAGAAAGAAAGAAAGAAAGAAAGAAGGAAGGAAC